AATATTATAATTCTCTTCATCACAATTTCACTTTTTAATCTAAAAACAGCATGTGTCTAATATATTGTCATGGTTTCGTCCACATCCCCAACTAGCCATTCATAAAAGTGTATTTGTTGTGAAGTCCTCATCATCATCTATTGTATAGTCCAGGAGACAGTGACGATTTTCGGTATTTATTTTCCCAGTCCGCAAGCATGAATAGAGAATTGTAGGATTAGCAATTCTAAGCAAAATTCATATATATTTAGATCCGATGGGCTGAGGCCAAAAATGCGTCAAAACATACGAGAACACGGCCCTTTTTTTCCATTGATAAAAATAGTTTTAGTAGTAAGAGATGTACTGAAGTTAAGTAAAAAATAGTCTGATTAATCTGTATGGATAATATATTTGGCAAGTGCATAAAATACACTTTCAAACGAGTTATGTACACAATTATTTCTATGACCACAATTATTTAAAGAATGTTCCAGGTGTTTTGTATATTAAAGTCTCCTATACATAAATAAAATCATATATCACAATGTTTCACCTAACCAGTTCGTTTATTTATAGAAATTAAACATAATAATTGAAGATATTACAGAAGAAAATAGGGAAATCAATTACATTTCCTTTTACACTTTTATATAATAATTGTTTTATATAGAATTCACGAAACACTTATTACTCTACATTAATTATAATTATTGCTAGTTTCGTTATGTCAAATCATTTATACTAGAGGTGAGGAAAATACAGTGAACTGTGGAACGCCAATATCGTTGGATGCGCGTGGTAGAAATGGTCCTATAATACTGCTAAAAACATAGCTAAATTTTCATGGAAACACTGTACTTTTGACATTTGCCATACTCCGACGCATATGCATTATTGATATAATCTCATGATTTTACAGTAATAGTTTTTGCAATTTTAGTGTGATTTTTAGGTTATTATGGTTATTCATTTTATTTGGTTCTGATCTTTTGCGCTTTTAGAGTATTTGTCTTTTATAGTTATAGTTTTTAATTTGAATTTTAATATTGTGGTCTATTTATATTTGATTGCTGCTTTTCGACTAGTGCTTAATTCTTTTTGTGTTAAAATAAGCTTTATAACCATTAAGTACATGCTTCTAGTTGATATCTATCCAGAGCCGAAAACTATGTAGGTATATAATATGTTTTTTTTTTATTATTTTTTAATATGTATGCAGCTTGGATGAGGGCTTTAGGAAGAGATCCTAAGACTGAAACACTGACTGCTATAAATGCCGTTTTTAGAGCACATTTCATAGTAAGTGATTTAATTCTAGCAGGAATGAGGAAACGTTTAAAAAACATGCTGTATCAGCTATTACTTTAAGACCTCGTCTCTTTAAGTTATTATTACTTCATTCTAATGCATATATTAAAATGGTTTTTAACTTGTGCCCTTATGATTAAAAGATGTAGGTATTTTAGTTATGTTATAATAGAAATATAGGATACATTGTATTGACTGACCTACTGGCCACTGGTCATTCCACTTTTACTCCCTTTTTTCATAAATTATCAAATTATTTAAAAACAAATACATACCTAGCTATTTTCTGTAAATTACATTAAAAATGTAAAAAACGTATTTCTCATCTATTAAATTGTTGTTACCGATAAAGAATACTTTTAATTTATTAAAACAAAAATAAAACCTGACTCGATAACTTAAATCAGTGAAAATAAGTTGCTTGAGATGGGGTCGTTTTTATGGAAAATGTTAGTGTTAATACTTTACTAATAAAACTTCAGTTAATTTATCTTATATATACCGGGTGTTCTAAATTAAAGCGTTACAGCTATATACCGCTTTTTATAAAAAAAAAACGTTTCAGACGAAAGTTTTATAGTTTTGTAGGGAAAAACTTTTGGCTAAAATCGTTTTTTATAGCTAACCATAATATGGCCAACTTTTTTTTCGCGCAGCAACATTTTCAAGTAGCTGTTACTCAAAAAGTAAAAGTCCAATAAAAAAAAATATTTCCCTCAAAAGTTTCTTATTTTTTTATGTACTTTAAGAATATGTAAGAAAAAATGTGATTCCCATTTAAAAAAAACCTTATGTGGGACATCCTGTATACATCTAACAAATTTTAAATTGTAGCCGTCTGTAACCTACGTATTCCTCCCAAACGAATTTTTTATATCTTTGGTCGTTTTCCCATGAAGCTCCGTCCCGTTGAGCGTGAGCCACCCTGTATATCTATGGTTTCGTCTATTACGGGCTATGGAAATTTCCAAGTCACGTAGATGGGTTTCCCTTCGGCTATGGACTGTAGTATTCTATAGGTGGTTCGAGCACCAACTTCTGGATTTTGAATTCACTTCCACTGGTTAAAATTAAAAATGTACAAACTATAACGTTTTTACACTGCACAGATTACATTATGTGGTAATTAAACGTCGGTTTATAACATATTATTTCACTGTCCCGATTTCGGCAGAGCAAATTAAAATAACCTTACTGGTTAAGTGTGAATGAATCTCTTATTTCGCAAAAAAAAATAATGGCGGGTGTTTTTTAGAATTTTTATTTGTATTGTAGTAAAAAATGTAAAAAAACACGTGCCATTTGTATACCAATCAATCAGTGAAAACGAAAAAATTTTATTTTTGAAATTACTGTCAGTACAGCCAGAAAACGAAATATTTGTGGAATTCGGGGCTCTTAAAGATCTTATTCTCAATTTTACCACTAATTCATATTTCTTAAAATTATGAAGTGCGTGAAATTAAAAGCATCATTAGTTTGTATTGTAAACATTCTAAAACTATATCTTGTCAATGATCCACATGTTTGTTGTCTTATTTAATTGCCGAGTTCATCCTACTATAATTTGTTGAGGTCAATTGGACTTTATACATCTAAAGAGATTATTAAAAGGCAACATATAATTGAAGTAATATCTCTAGCAATGTGATACAATTTCATTTCAATTAAATGATTCATTTTATTGTTTTTATATCTTTATTATTATACATTCTTTTGTAGCGTAATAGTATAAAATGGGATGGTTTAGTCTTGTAGATTCTTCCAGAGTAATTTTTTAAAATTTTTTATCTGATTTGGTATCTTCTGGTTTTACGAAAACCTACGTGAGTTGGTTTAAAAATGTGGACTTATTGGAGACGATAAGTGATGTTTTATATTTAATGCTGATGAAAGTAGCTTCTACAGTGATCCTTCTAAAGTTCGGGCTATAGGTGAAAAGGGAGTACCATTGTCTAGGGTATCAGAAGGATCAGGGAGAGAATCTACTACTGTCTTAGCATGCATTGCTGCAGATGGATCATTTTTACCTCCATTTATTGTGTTTAAAGGAGCTGCTGTCCAAGCCCGTTGGACTTCTGAAAATGTGTATCCTGGTACAATATATGGAGCATTTAAAACTGGGTGGATGGAAGAGCCCTACTTTTATCAATGGTTCATAACCTTATTCACACCAAATGTTAACAGAGTGCGAAAAGAACGGGATGTGCCTGACCAGACTACTCTGTTGTTATTCGACGGCCACAGTAACCATATCAGCGTTCAGATAGTGAATGCTGCGCTTGAACACAAAATTTCATTACTTAGGTTCCCAAGTCATCTAACAGATAGGATATTACTAGATAAATGCTTATTCGGACCTATCAAAATTAAATGGGACAGAATTTTGGTTAATCATGCAAAATCTGAAATGGGAAAGTCTTGTGGACGTTTGTCCAGACGTAAGTTCTGAGAATTGTTAAAAAAAGTTTGGGAACAAAGCATGACTCTCGAAAACATAATTTCAGGTTTCGAAACGACTGGAATTTTTACAGTTGATTCTCTGAAATTTTCCGAAAAGTATTTTGATCCAAATTGCAAAGTCTGAAGCTATCAGGTTAAATAAAATGAAAAATAAGTGTAAATATTTTTCAGAGAGAAATCTTGGCGCTTAGCGTGTTATAGACCAGATTTATTATACAAAGTACACTCTTCACAAGAGCTATAGAATTTGTGATGTTCATTTTTCTTCACAGATGTTCCAAAAAAGAAAGAGACAAATACTGCGAAAAGATGCTGTTCCACTCAAATTCGTTTCAAGTGGCATCACTGACGAGACAGTTCCAAGTACATCGACTTCTAGCACTGAAATCTCTCAAGTGCCATATACCTACGAGTATTTTATACCAGCTTTTGGAACCATCAGCTTCAACCATTGGCAACTCTTCCGATAAGGTTTTCAATACGTTTTCCTTCATGGAGTGTCCAAACATCAGAGGAACTAACTTTTGAAAGCCTAAGAAAGGAAAAACTAAGGGAGATTAACAATGCCCTAAAATTTGAGAACAAAGCGTTGAAAAGAGACAACCAGGTCCTTCTTAATAAATGTAACAATCTTAAAAAAAGCTTCAAGAAAAACTGGAAGACACGATCACTCTCGAACAGTACAAAACTTGTACGTATTCACTGTGCCCATCCAAAGAACTCGTAGAATTTATTAATGTTCAGATTACCTAAAGCATTAAATCAGCTAAAGGTCGAAGGTATTCGGACTAATTTAAATTTAAGTGCTAAGTGCTATATTTCTCTGGCCCAAATGTTGATCTACATCCAGAAACATGCTTGAAAAACCGTCGTGTCTGCTCATCATATATTTTATTCCTGTTAAAAAAAACCGCCAAATCAATTTTGTTAAATATTAATTCAGACAAAATTGTTTTCACTAGGCCCAAATTAACCACAATTATTGGGTTAAGTGAGTCACACTGTATATCATTAAACGTCTTAATTAAACTATCATCGATAACAATTAATTAAAAAAACCAAACGAACACTTTCTAGAATCCATAAACACTCAAATACACCAATAAAAGTCTATATCAAACATAAACAATCTCTTTTTACCAAACCGAAACTAACGTCCTTGTTATCATGTCGAAATAGAAATTCCAATGAACCCGTTCCACCTGTACGCATCATTAAAATACCATCACTAAGAATATTTATCTCACCTTCTAACTCGACAACCTTCCCGGCTCTCTTGAGCGCCTTCACGGCCTCTTCGTGCGTGGCCTCCCTCAAATCGTCTCCGTTCACCGATAAAATAGCATCCCCTACGTACAGCTGCTCCGTCTGATCGGCCGCCATCCCCTTAAATATCTTACTAATCAGTATCGGCATCTTGTTCTCCTTGCCGCCTTTGATTGATATGCCCAAACCGTTATTTTCCGATTTGATGACACGCACTAAACGTTTCTGATTGGCTACGGCTTCCGGTATTTCAGGTAAATCACTGACACCGCTCGGCGTTTCGATATTATTGTTCAAAGTGCCGTTCAGAGTGGTCGTATTCTCGTAGGATTCGTCTAGGGTGATGCTGAGATAATCTTCTTCCAAAGTCACGAACACGCGGTACCAATTGCCGCGAACGTACGTCTCTAGGATACCGGATCTGCCGAAAAAGCCGGGCGAAGTCACCTCGTCACTCATTTTCCATCCGCACTGACAAGTAAACAATAACAAAACACTGGTGGGCGATGAAACAAACGTGTAGCGATCAGCTGATCACCTGGTTACTACGATTCCACTGGCAGACCGGCGGTCGCGACAACCCGCAGGCTTTCAGCAAATCACATCGTCACGTTCCACCACGTTGTCGGCCGGCGGCCTACTGCTTACGGTGAATGCTTCTTTACGAGACAGTGCGGTACGGTGGCCGTAGAAGATTTTGCCCGAGTCGTATTTTACCGATGCTTCGGCGCGTCAGGAACCCTCCGTTGCCGTGGTTACGGGCGTCCCACGGGGTTTTTTTGTCGTATCAGAGAGTCGTTTCGGTTAGCGACATCTATCGAAAAACGTCGTTATTAATTTTATAAAAAGCTAGAAAATATGTGTAACACTAAACTGTGGTTGTGATATTGATTAGTAGATGGCGTGTACGTATCGTATTCAGCCATTTCATGTCCCGTTTTGTGTTTATGCACATTTAGGGATACCTCAGATAAATTTATCTGATAGGGATACCACCAGATTTATGAGAGCGAGAAGCGTGGCGACACAACACTGGCGGATGGAATGATTTTTTTAGTTGTAATTTATTGGAACTAATAAAAAACCTTTTTATATGAAATAAACTCTCGCAAACAACAAATAAAATGACATGAAAAGACAAACATTTCATATTATACAGAAATTAAAATAAATTCTCAAAACAAGATAAAAACTTATAGTATAGGAGCACATTGCAAAATTTAGGATGGCGCGATTTTGTGAGTGTGTGAATTTTGATCAAAATTAGAGGGTCGCAAGATCACGTAAGGTATTTTTTGAATATTTAATTTATCTTTTATATCCTACGATCGGGCAATAGGCAATTCAGTTACACAGATGTGTCGTAAAAGGCGAAATAAATGTCTTTACTTTACTTGGTTGCTGCTTATTATGGATTTTGCATATGGCACGCTTCAATTTGTCAATTTGTCTAGAAGCACAAGCGATATCGTTTGGTAGGTACATTACCTACCTTACGATAAAACTGCACATTTTTTGAAACATTTTGTCAATGGTTTGGTAATTTTAGAATAGTCGTGAATTTAAAGAAAAACTTTAAAGACGTAAATTTTTATCAGGATTTAGTTTAGCTCCAGAAAGGACAATTACATGTTCTAAATACGTAACTAACTTTTGAAGAAATTCTGATTTGTCTAGTTGAACTTTAAAATTATATTGTCTGAGCCTGTCGAAAATACCTACAGTTTTTAAACGTTCTGAGTCCCTGTATATTAAAATGTCATCTAAATAAACAATACAGGTTTTGTCTGTTAATACTCGTAATATATTTTCCATTGCTCTTTCAAATATGGAAGGAGCATTTTCAGTCAAAACGGCATATTTAGATATACAGGGTGTCCCATAAATGCGTAATTGTTCAATATTTCAATTTGAGTTATAGTAATGCAAACAAAAGTTTCAAATAGAAGTTATATTGATTTGAAAAATACATGTTTTAAAAATCTATTTGGATATATAAATAGAGTGTTGAGTTTTTGCGTGGCAAATAAAAATTTATGTTTTCAAATAGGACACCCTTAATTTATTTTATTTTTAGAATGGTTTGGTATAACTGTATTTAACCCTAGAATCTTTTTAAAAAATATTACAGTATTGCCAGGCAATTAATATTTTTATGAAATTAGAGAATGATGCAGACACCAAATTAAATTATCCTAATTTAGGTAGGTTTACATTGATTTCAAAATTGTTTATAAGATACTAAGCTAACGAATAGTGGTGATAGAACTGGTTTATTTTATACAGTGTTTGCAAACATGTCTTATATATGGCTAATCTTAAGTTCAATTTACTCAATTTTTCAAATGCAATACCCTGTACATATTATCTTAGCATAAAATTCCATAAAAATTTGTCTATTATCAGCCTCAGAATCCCAGGCAACCAACTGATATTAAAACGTTTCTTTTGGGTCATTCATTTTCGTAATTATTAATGACGTTTATTAAATGTCTTATTTTTATCAAATTAGAACCAGAATTTTAATTTCTTTTACTTAACGTTTTTTAAAACGTTATTTTTCGGTCATTCACTTACGTAGTTATTAATGACATTTATTAAACGTCTTATTTTCGTCAAATTGGGACTAGCATTTTATTTTCTTTTTCTAAAACTGAACGTCAAGATTATAGTAAAACTTCCCTTTTTTATGAAAGTGTTTTTTGTTTAGTTATGCAATAAAGTCATTAGATTTTGAAAAAAAGTCAGGAGATTTTATCCTATCTGGTGCGTTTTGGGGATTTTTAATTTCTAAAGTTAAGACATTCAGAGTCAAACTGTTGACAGCCATGTATGGCGGTTTCTTCTTCTTCTTCTTCTTGCTTCTGTCTTATATGTTTGTAAATTTTCTTGAAAAGTTAGCAGTGAATTTCAAATTGCATATTTCTGACAAATAGTCATAATTTTTTTTTATTTGTGTTGAATGCCAACCGTTAAAAAATTAACTATTTATTATTTTTGAAATGTTAAATTAAATAAAGTAATTAACCACAATCTTGTTTTATTATATATGTACATCCTATTCCCATAGTATATAGGGTGTTTGACTAAGATTGAACCTGGTAACTTTCGACTCAAGAGCCCAGAGACGAAATCAAAGGTTTTCTTTATTTTTCTATTTAACTCTAAAAATGAAAAACTTTGCAACTAACTTATTTTCACCCTCAGGAGTTAAGCGTTTGCTTATATTCGGACACACTGTCACACTGTATGGTAACGTTCATTTTAGGTCAACAAAGTCACGTTCATTTTACGTCAATAAAATCACGTTAATTTTACGTCAATTAAATCACATTATATTTACGTCAATAAAATCATGTTATATTTACATCATTAAAATGACGTGTATGTGAGCGACATTTTCACGTTAATAAGACATTAAAAACCGACATTATCAGACGTTATTTTGGTCATTTGATGACGTTTTTTCGATGTTTTAAAAACGTTTTTTAGTTGCCTGGGATGTAGATTTTTAAATAAACTATTAAAAATGAAAGAACCCATAAACAAAAAATTAAACATTATTCACCGGTCTTATAAAGGGTGTATCTTATAGTGGTATCCGAAGTTTTTTTAAATAATTTAACAAACAGTGAATTTTTTGTAATAAATGTTTTTTTTATTAAAATTGGATCCATTACAATTTATTTGATCACTTTTTGAAGATGACATCAGCCAAGTGGCCACCTCCGGACGCCACACACAATTCGGCCCGTTTTTCGGCATTTTCTATCACTTTTTGAAGTGTTTCGGGTTGAATGGCAGCGATTTCTCGGCGTATATTAGCCTTATATTGTTAGAGAGTGGCTGGTTTATCGGCATAAACCTTTCCCTTCAGGTATCCCCGCAGGAAAAAGTCTAATGCGATTAAATCTGGTGAATGAGCCGGCCAGTCGAAATCGCCCTATTTCGATATCAATCGATTCGGGAACATGGCACGCAATAGGAGTTTTTTTGAAAATAAATTTTTACAATTTCAGCACGTTGTTGTGATGTAAGGTGGTTCATTGTTAAAATTGTACTGGACTGACGTTTCTAAAACATTAAAAAACATGGCGATCTGTCACCTGGTTGTCAAGTTATTTGAAAAAAACATCTGGTACCACTATACACCCTTTATTATAGTATATTTCTTTATATATTTCTTTATAAAGGCAGCCAGCAGAAGACTTGTTTTTTACGCGGCGTCAGTCATTTTCTGCTCACCTCACAACTGCCAGACCCTCATCATCCGGTTTTTCAAATTCAACAATGCAATACATCTGTAAAATACCAAATTCGGTTTAAAATACTTTATTATTTTGTTGTATTCTATTTTTTACCTTTTTCTAAAACATCTTATCAAATAAAGTACAATTTAAAAATGCACCATGTTCACGAGATCACGACTGTCACGAGAATCATGGAGATTAAGGAAACAGGAAACAACAATGACAATTGACAATATGACATTGCCAGAATATTTTTTAGTTTAGTACTAGATTGATATAAATAATTGTACCAGGATCGGTTTCTTCTCTGGTTGCCTTAGGAATATTATCAATTGTTTAGGATTTATTAGGTCTTTACGGTACTTTTACTAGTTTAACTTATATTAATTACACTGGACGATAGCGGACAATGTACTGAATTTCGTTTCGAGGACATCGGAATTGGGTTGGCCATACGTTAAAAAGAGACAGGCAACAAAATCTTTAATGATTAATACTAGAAAAAGAAACGTTACTAATTATCCATATCAAAACATAAGGCACCGTAATTTTACCAAAAAATTTACAAACTGCAGCTCGAACAAACTTAAAATATACGTGTTTTCAGTTGAAGCAGATTTCCAATTAGGTTCTTTACAATTCAACACTTAAGTATTAAAATATACTAAAAAATAACGTAATTATGACGAATTCTAAGTGACGTCTATTCTATTTCATCAATGCGACGTCAAATACACGTTACTGGTTAGGATATTGTATTTCGGATAAATAAATAATAAAAAATTACGTCATAATGACCAGTCTGTATTGACGTCTAATTAACGTTGCTAAAACGACGTCAAAGTAACGTCATTAAATGGAATAATGACGTTTCTGACAAGTAAATCTAAAAAATCACGTCATACTGACGGCACCTTGCTGCTTAGGTCGTAAACGACCCGATTTGAGTAATCTATATAAGTACGTATGTATTATTGACCCTGTCAATGACAACAGGCTCAAAGGGTGCCATATCTAAATGTCAGTTCCCACTTGTCAGCAGTTTCACAGGTCGTTAATGCCTAATTAGGCATTCCAACGACCTGTCAAACAATAGGTGCCAGTGGGAAATTCTTATATATTTAAGGGGGTAGCGACATAGTCTTGCAACTTGGACGCTATTTTTATTCGAAGTAGTACTCGCCAAGCCTGCCAATTTATGAAGAAATGTATAGGTGGGGTTTTTAAATATTATTTTTATTGTATTTGACATAAAATATTTAAATGTAATCCACTATTCATGATTTTACGTAAAGTAGATAGAATACACCATATGTCGCCACCCTTAGATATACCAAACCTGCCCACTGGTAATTCATTTGTTTGGAATGCCTAATAGTATGGCCGGAACTAACCTATGTTACCAGTGCCGTGCATTTAAACGATTTATCTTTAATATTAATTTATCCATGGTACTTACAGATTACTTATTATTCTCTCTTTTTGAGAAAACTTATTCAGACTTCTCACTTATTTTGCTTGGCTTTAAATAAAAAAACTCTTACTATTAATAAATATCCTTTATTTCACACTATTCAAATCATTTTTGCCAATAAACTGCACAATACGTTCAACAAACAACTTCAAATCCTTATCTTTCGACATGGCAACTTCAATAACATCATTTGAATGTATTTCCGATTCTACGGCAGTACTATAATCGATTGGGCAAATGTTGGTGATTAAACTGAATGCGAAACATCGCATCCCGCAGTGTCTTGCAGTTGTTACTTCGTGAACGGTTGACATTCCCGCAGCATCGATGCCCATGGACCTTAAAGCGCGTACTTCGGCTACCGTTTCATAGGTGGGGCCACCTACGCAAGTGTATACGCCTTCCTTTATGTTCTTTAATCCTGAAACGAATATCGTGTCAAGTTTGGCCAATTGCAGTCGTAGGAAAATCTAGACAGATACTAAATTCCTTATTTGGTATGTAATTGTATACCTAGATCACCTCGGACCCAAAAAAAATGCTTTATTTTATGAAAAGTACCTTGTATGGGAAAATTTTAAAAAATTGTGGAAATCCAGAGCATACGCCCATAATAAATTATATAACCACCATTTTGTTAATTGACTTTTATATTTTTTATCAAACAAATACAAATTAATGTTTTTAAATTTTTTGAAACACTGTGTGAATGAAATATTATAAATTGAAGGTTATGACATCCTGTATATAAGATATTATTGAAATGTATGTGTTTGCCGGCCATTTCTAACAAAAGTGGTTCCTAGAAACGCTGGAAACTATTCCTAACTTTGCTAATAGGGGGCGTAATTTTGTTACCAACACATACTTTGATTTTCTTTTACTATACGGAGAATGGTCGCACTGCGCAGTTTTCTGAGTGCCTTTTAGTGCGTTTTAATCATCCGCTTCTGCTTCGGAATTGTCGGTTTTCTTGTTTTAATCTGACAGGTTAAAACGACTAAACCGACAATTCCGGAAGCAGGAGCGGATGATTAAAACGCACCTGATATTTTGCTTACTGCTGCCAGTGTCAGTGAATATTATTTTTGATGTCACAGTTTATTGCTAAAGAATCAGTTAGCTCACTCGGACCAGCTGGAAGTTCCAAAATAACATCCACTCCAGGGATACAAATTCAGGATACGCAGAAGACTGCTGTTTTATTATAGGAGGTTGTCATATATTGTAATATCCGAGTTGCACAGTGTATAAACTGAAACATTGAGATCAAAAGTGCCGACGCAGAGTGAGCGATCTGATTCTTTAGCTGTAAACTGTGTCACAGGGTTCAAAATGGCCGCGCCCTATGTTGGGCGTGTCGGACCTCTCTCTTGCCTCGTATAGTAGTCAAAGTATGTGGTTCCCAAGTTTAAAAGACATTTTGGAGAATACGGGAAAAAATATATTTTTTCATTGGCAGGTATATATTGGATTTTGTATATAGCAACTTACCCAGTTCTTCGGCAATCTTCTTAGCACTTTCTAGTAAGTCAACGTCGTACGCGTTGACCATAGAAAAGAACCTGGGTCCAAATCTTAAATCGTTCAAACCCACCAATGGCCCATTACCGGAAAACCCCATTACATTAACGTGATCTTTTTGCAGCATTATATCTCCGATTTTGAAATCCTGATTTAAACCACCGGCTGCGTTTGATGCTATCAAATGGGTAACCCCTAGGAGCTTCATCAATCTCACGGGCATTACACATTTTGATAGAGAGTAGCCTTCATAGTAATGGAATCTGCCTTGCATACAGATGACTGGTACGGTTTTTATGTACCCTAAAAGTTTATAAAATTATCTAGCTATGAAATAGAACAATAATGAAGTAAAAATTAAGAAAATTAAATAAAGTTTCAGAACCATGTGTCTATTATTGTGTCACATGGCTTTGAGATTTAATTTTTCTTTTTTAAACGTTCTCAGGAAAGCTACAGATTGTGGAAGCGAACGTTTTAATCTAACCTGACGTGATTGTTAATTTAAGGCTGCGACATTTGATCCAGCGGTTTTGCAACAAAGCAAGTATTCAATACATTGTACATAGATGGCAATACCTGTACCTGTAGCTCGTATAACAATTTTATTTTTAAGCGTACTTGTTTTTATATCCAGGGCTGGAACTCTGTGTCATGTAGAATTCTACTTATCGCTTTCTACAATAGATTCTTTTGTGGCACTCTGTGTAACATAGCGGAAAACCAACGAGTATATACTTACTACAGGATAACTAGATTCATAAGAAACCACATTGCGATATTTCCCGTGCGGTTGATAACGTATTTATCACAAAAGAAAGTAATCAATTCCATTGTAGAAAGCGATAAGTAGAATTCTACATGACACAGAGTTCCAGCCCTGGTTGCCAAATCTAGGTAGACAGATACCAATAAATGTTTTAGAAGAATAATATATTTTGCGATATCCAGTTTCAATTTAATAATTGCACTGTTACATGAAAAATTAATCTGTCAAAACTTGTACCTAGTTGGTAAGTAGTAAGTAGGTTAAATGTAACAAAAAGAAAAAAAACATTAAATTTTACTTTAGAATAATATTTCAACATTTATTAACATTATTGGTATATTGTATTCACTTGTAAACTATATTTGACGGTCATAATAATAATTTTAATCCTAAAGAACCGGGTCAATTGAACTTTTCCACATCGCAATTTTTGGGTTGGAGTGAAAGGTATTTTATGGTTGGTAGAAATTTTATTACTTTATGGTTTTTCCTAATCCGAAGGGTTTCGTTTACATTTTACCTAAAAATTTGCAAAACTTCTATAAATATAATACGATTATTAATTTCGGTAATAAAATAAGAATTTTTAATTTTTTATGCCTACTTATTAGGTAATGGTACCTCTAAAATGCATAATGATATTACTTAAGTAAAAATATAATTTGACAATAGCGTGATCGCTCATGCTTTTGTTGATTAGACAGAAATTGTGAAACTTAACAATCGATTGGATCGATTATTGTGAATTTCAGAACTAAGCAACTGGTAGTCTCTGGCAACTGACAAGACAAAAAACTCAAATGTCGAAGGATTGAAGTCTAAACGACAAAACGTAAACAGTTCGTTTTTCGTGTTTGAATTTTGGCAGATTTTTGAGTGGGTGTTGTTATTTTTTTGTGCTTTTTCGTTATTCGTGATTTTGTTACTTTTATAAGACTTCATTAGTTATAAGGATATTTAGTAGTTAGTGAATAAACTTTTACCTTATAAAATATGGGGCATCATACAAATGTCCCGAGTAGAAAGAGGAAGAGAAATAAGATGTGCAATTGGAAAGTCATGTGTTCCCAAAAGTCGTTTGGTTTCAAAGTTCCTCAAGGAATAAAAGTGTAACAAAAATTTAATGTTGAAAGATATATGAAGGATTCATTTCCAATATTTTTGACATCTGTATTATATTTTAGGTTGTTTTTATTGTAATATACTATAATCTTTTTTCTAATAAACTACTTTTTGTTTTATGTCTAATTTCCTTCCACCCATGTCCTATCAATAATTATTTTTGCAATAAACAAAAATATTTCGGTATTTTTGCAAGTTTTGAATTAGTTTTTATTAAAATTGCTCATAAACCGATACAATTAACATTAATAAAACTGATTATAATAACTACTTCAAACATACTCAAAATTAATATTGCAGAAAAATATCCATTTGTACACCACTTCATTGGCTTCAATTCTTAAAATTAGTCTTCATGACACGTATATGACATACAGTGAGTGCAATAAAGTTGGGTCCATATATATATGGCAATTTTTTTTAATATTATGACCGGAAAAAACGTCATTTACCTCTGATTATTTAAAAAGTTGGTTACGTACGTTACTTACCTGTCAAATTCGTAATAATTTTGAAAAATCGCTCAAAAATCCTTTTTTAAACGAGACTGACAGAACTAAATCCAGTAGTCAAATTTAATATGGGTTGGTTTAAGTTTTTAAATAACCAGAGATGATGGTTTACGATGTTTTTTTCCAATCGTAATATCAAAAAAAAAAATCACATATGGATCCAACTTATTGACACACACTGTATAAAGCAGGTTTGAGAACGTACAAAACTATATTTTTTTTAATTCTTGTCAACTAACAAAAGTGCTTGTGCCTTAAAATCTTCCCGATTTTGTCCATGGAGAAAGATTTTGTCACTCAATAAATATCTTTAAAACCATTGTAAACATACATAGAACGGCAACGTCGTATTATCATTGATTATCATATACAAGTATATTTGAGCAACGATTCGTATTGTACTTTGAAATAATTTGACATGCCGTTTGCATTTCTAATTGGTCAACCAATAATTTGACATAAGACGTTTACTTTTCTGATTGGCAACCATTAGTTGTCGCCCAAGTTTCAATACATATGTTAACTCAGCCTTGCATGTCGCATTGGTGGTGAACACGATGTACTAAAATGACATGATAATTAACGCGTCAATTTTAAAAATTGTGTCAAAATTTGCAAATTGAAATCATGCTTTTTGTAATAATTATTAGACCGACAGCCGTCATATTGTAGGATAGTTAATAAAAAATCATAGAGAATTCATTGAAAACAATTTGCTTAATCATCCTTGCAATAAAATTTTTCAAGTTTTTAATGATAATTTGAAATTATGATTAGTTATTATCGAATATGTGTATATTCAATTCATTCTTACAACATTTCTGTTTATAATTATAACTCAATTTCCTTGTAATTTTTCTTTATTAATCTAAAAAGCATGATTTAGTAACACGTTGTAAAATGACAAAAACGGCCGCCATTTTTAGTCCATTTCCCAGCCTTAAATCCTGAAAACTAAATACCAAAACACTATAAAAATAATCTAAAAGAAAAGATTTAGGAAAACGAAATGTCATACGAACTATTTTCTTATCCTTTAATTCCCCTTTGCCTTATTTGGATCTTTTACGGCCTTCGTATCTCCCGTTACCAAGAATATTCGATGAATTTAGCCAACCTCTGAAATCGCTTATTGATTTGGTAGATATACTAGTCTAAAAAAATTGTGGAGGTGTCTATTCTTAGTCGAAAGGCGTTTAGAATCTTCGAAAACAAATCTGAAACGCCATATTGTTATATAAATTGCCCAAGTTTGCCGTTAGAGTTAGTTTTAGTTAAGATATCGTTCTGTGTAGATAAATATTGCCAATATAAATCAGTATATTAATAAAGAGATGTAAATTAGTGTTTTAGTGTAAATAAATTAAATAATAAACTTTTAAATTTTCAAAAATTATTAATATTATCATCTATAAGTAAATAATACACATTTTTACCTAATATAAGTCTTCCTTTGTGTCCTTCTACAGTGCTAATTGGAAAATAAGGGATGTTTTTGTAATCCAAAATAAATGCATCTGTTATGAGTTCTCCGATAGAGCCTAAAATTTTATAATTAAAAATAATTTACAGAAATACTAGTAATTCTAAAAATTCTAATTTTTTGTTGTTGCTTGGTGAAAAAAACGTAAAATATTCGTGAAGATTTTTAACCAATGAGAAGCATGATTTTTGATCTGTTATAAGGCAGTTTTGAAAATTTTGTTCTCCATGAATACAGCAAAAATGTTTTACAGTACCATAGTTTCATCACAAGAATAAATAATTTCTGCAAATTCGATGTATGGGGATGTGTATGAGCTACGAATGAATTTGTATCCTCTTTAATGACATCAGATACTCGCAGAAGCATATTATCCATGTCATTCTCGCAGTTTTAAGTTCCTGAATTGAGTAGCTCTACACAGAACAACTTTCTAAAGTTTCTTTGAAATTGAATGGTTGTTGGATTAGCACAATTACTATTTTGCTGTCTTATAAGACCAAACAAATGTTCTAACGGATCTTGGTTTAAACGTCTAGTAAAAAGAAACTTAACGTTTTTTGTTTTAAGAAAATTCCATAAATGAAGAATGGAGCTAATTGTTATTTTAAAACCTGTTATAAACTTCATTTTTTAATTACATCCTCGCCTAGGTTATTAAAAACTTTTAAAGGGTATAAAAATCAATATCGAGTGAGGAACAACACTTTTTTTTTTTAAATTTATTTTATTATAATTTTTTTTTTATGAAAATTGTAACATAGACCAATATAGAATTTTAAATTCTTTTAAACTTCAGTTAGTTAGTCACCTCGAAATGGTGGTAGTACGTCCAAGGTTTCTTCAACTTCACCTCTTCGGTTGTGGTGGGGTAGAGAAACGTAAAAGGGATGATGAATTGGTGGTACATATTGAAGCATTTTTTTAATGTCTTTCATTTTATTGAACGACAAAAGTTTTGTTTCTGTTGCAGGCTCTGGTGCGAAAATTCTCAATGTTTCTAACAAATCACACAGATTGCCACTTTTGTTTAGTTCGACTGACTTGTAAATATCACTATAATCATCGTTGTACTCCATAACTGACGATCCCTTTGTAAATTTTATTTTTCGCATTTTAGATATCATGACACCCAATCGAGTTAAACTTTGATATCCTTTGAACACTCCGTGCAAGTGTTCAAAGGACACATCATTACTCTTTGGTATCTTGCCATTTGACACACAACAGCCCACTATTTGTTGTCCTGAATTCAGACTCTCCACGTTTTAGTTTACCCCTTATTTTAGGAACGTTTCTTCTATTGGTCATGCAAGTACCAAAAGCGGGGAAATCTATGGTTTCCAATAAATTTACACTAGTAAAGAAACGGTCGAAGCATAGAACTACATCTTGAGATTTGATAGTTGATGCTAGTGACTTCACAACTCTTTCTCCAAGAGTCAAAGCTTCATCTTGATCTGTTGTAGTTGATACTTTACCGGAGTATACATTTATATCATAAGTGTAACCTGAATGAGCATCACAACGAAGCCACAACTTGATGCCTGGTTTTGTAGGTCTTAGAGGCATATACTGCTTCAAAGACGAACGTCCTTTGAATTTAGTCATTGACTCGTCAATGCTTTGAAACTGACTATCTTGGCGACATTTACTAAATGTGTGTGTGAGGCATGACGTTAGGTCGTCCACATAATACGTTTTAGAGGGATTTTCTGGTTTTTCTGGGGGTGCAAAATACATTTTTGAGGACAAGAGCATATACCGATCACGTGATATCGTTCTTGCAATAGTTTCATTTCCCATTGACTTCTGCTGACTCCAGTAATGTTTCAAACCGGGTAGTTTATTATAAGACATCACAAACATGCATCCTATTACTTTTTGTATTTCTCTTTTATCAGTTTTTTTTTCATTTCGTTTTTTGGTCTTATTTAGAATATCAATTCGCTGATTTGTACAGTCCACTATATGGAGATATACTGAATGGGGAAATATTTTATGAAAAACGTCCATTGGAGTCATATTTTTATTTATTTCTTTGTGAACTGCAGCAGATCTTTCAGGGGGTATAATTTTTGCAGGAGTGAATGAGGCAGTCGGCAGTAACCATTCTATAAGCTGATTTTTATTATTTGGAATTTGCATTACCTGTTCTGATTCTGACTCACTTCCTAAATTTGAATCGGAAGAATCATTCAATGGAGGGTCAACCAATGGTGGTGATGGATTGTGATAATCTGAGCACTGTGATGTATCACTTTGTTCATCTTCATTGGGGTCATAGTTATCACTAGATCCAGAACTAAACAGTTCTTCTTCCAACTCCGACAAATCCGACATTTCATCAGCGAGATTTTGTAGTTCCCTCTCGGCTAATGCTCGACCGCAGCGTTTCATTTTGGTACTGAAATCAAAATAAAATGCGTTGTAATACATCGAACCTGATCCATATACCTACAGGTTTTACACTATACAAACAACATGTAATTACGTTACTATTTTACAGGATTTTTGTACTTTGCCTATTTGGCGCGTAGTAAAAAAACAATACATTGAACCCTGCTGGTAAACTTATGTACCATCAAAAAACCCGACTGGTAAACATATGTACCACAGCAAAAAAAAAATCACCAAAAAACAATAAACAAAATTATTTTATACATACCTCAATGTAGGAACACTTTATGAACAATTTGGGAACTAACGAACAATATAATATTGTATCATATAGGAGCAATTTGTAAAAACGTGCAGAAATCGTCAACATGTGGTACCGCGTTCGCAGTCATCTGTGCACTGGCGTAAAATGTGTTATAAACGTGGCATTTTTTACACTCAAGCATGAAGACGGAACCCAAAGATCCGGTGTGGTACAAATGCCGCTTAGATAGAACGTTAAATCGGGCTGCCAGGTTTTTAAAAAAATCTCTGGTACATATATGTACCGCTAGGGACGAAAGGGTTAAAAATGTCAGTTGAAAGTCGAGACCCTTAAACGCCAAATTATATTTCTTCCCCTCTGATGTTTTTGATGAGTTTAAAATATCAAATAATTTGTCGAATTTATCAATAAAATCAGCAGTTGCAATGGCTTCATTAGACAAGTTACCTAATTCGACGTACACATTTAAAGCCGCTGAAACTGTAAGACTAAATACCTGACTTGCATATTTTACCATCATGTTTTCAAAATTACTAGAAAATATATGCGAATCAGTTAGTTTAGGCGCTGATCTAGTAACTAACGACTTATCAATATTATAAAAATGCGTAATATATGACCAAGAAACTATTTTGTTAGAAACAAGAAAAGTATCTTTCTCATAGCCTTGATGAGGTGAGGTGTATCGAATATAAAAAAAAATTTTTGATCGTCAAAAATAAAATAAGGTGTCTCAGGGGTTATTTGCAAATAGATTTTACATTGAATATTATTGGAGCCCATATCACTTACGGTAACAATAACGTTCAGTCCAATATTCCTTAACTTTTTAATAGCATTAAAAACTATATACTTTAACTCTAAACCAGGGCATGTACTATTGTAAAAAATAACTCAAAGGTTGCTTTCAATTAGAGAAAATCCCCCTGACCAACAAGACGGTGGCTGTTCTTGCTGTTTTAAATACTCTTTTCCCATTGCCGGGATTTCCCACGCCTACAACATAATCCGTACTACGGTTAAAAAAATTGCCTTTCTGCTTATCTCATCCACACACAATACACAATATTTGTCGATTTCATTAAAATTGTCAGCTTTAATTGTTTTGAACACATTGGAGACTTCCAAACCTGGTGGGATGTCTATCCCACGTAACAAGATTCTAAGGGATTGCGGCTCAGACAGGCAAAATAATTTAGTTAGAAGTATTTTATAAACCTTTGGGCCAGAGAAATATAGTGATAAACACTTCAAGGGTATCCAGGGAAGAGCGAGGGGGGCAGCTGTCCCCCATTCCGAACCCCAAAATATTAAATTAAGATAAAACTTGAATTGAATTTTTTATAAATATTTTTTTTAAAGTTTTCCAGTACGAAAAGTAGCTGTGAAATAATAATATATTATTCAATTTAATTTTTTTTTATAATTAATAAAAAAAATAATTTCGTGTAGAAAAACTACTGCATTAAAAGTTTCGATGTAGAATATCGGTGTAGGTGTGCTTGAAGGTCACGAGCCCTCGAAGATCACGTGATCAGAGATACCCTTCTGGTTATTATTTATTTTTGTGGTTTCATGTAATTTAGGTAATAATTTTAATTACAAAATTCCCAAAATCGTAATTTTTTACTACAAGATTTTTTAAAGAAAACCATCACTGATCGTTTAGGAAATCAAGAAATTTTCAATAAATTCTTGTATTCAAAAATTTGTTCTCGAAAATTTATATCCAAAAATTTATGCTCAAAAAATTGTATTTAAAAATTTGTATTCAAAAATTTATTGTATTCAAAAATTTATGCTCAAAAAGTTGTACTCAAAATTTTGTACTCAAAAATTTATACCCAAAAATTTATACTTTATACTCCAAAATAAATTTTTAAAAATTGGTATATAAAGAAGGTACAGAATTTTAATTTTAAACCATACCTGAATAAATATTAATAAATTGTCGGGTGAGTCAAAATAGCGAAACAATAAGCTGTAGAAAATGCTTTAAAACTAATAAAGAAAAAATTTGAAAGATTCACGTTTCTAATCCAGTGTATTTATATAAATGAATTTACCATTTTTTTAAAGTGTCTAGTGTTTACATAATACGTAAAAAGATTTGGTCCTTTGTTGTTGTTATTACAATTTTTGATATATCACTTCCAATGGTAAATATGTAAGTAGAATCTTTCATAATTTCTTGTAAAATGTAAAATCAAAATAATAATATATTAGCATAATACCGGATCTTCAAAAATACCCGAATGTCACGTGATCTGGTAACATCAAAAACGCAACGAAAGTGCCTGATTTGACATAAAAGTAATTAACTGTGCTGTCAGTTCTGTCAGAAATGTCACTGGCGTTCATTTGGGGACTGACAATATTTATATTATATTTGT